ATTAAACATTATTTTTATAATCATTTTACACTATTTTGTATTGTTATATATATTTCTTGCAAGTTATTTCACAAACAATTGCCTTGTCTCATTGGTTTGGATTGGCATTTTCATGTGAAGGTAACCCGAGTTCGAACCCCATTCCAAGCATATTTTGGAAAAAGTTTCAAAATCCGGTTCGGACCCGGCCCGACCCGGAACCGACCCGGATCCGAGTGGACCCGCCCCGGACCCGGACCCGCCTCCCCGCGGGTCGGTTTCGGGTCCTCCAAAACTCGGGGCCGGACCCGGACCCGACCCGACCCGGGGCCGTGTCTAGTGCTAGTGGTGATCTTACAATGACGGTGCATGATCAAAAGATCCAATTTAATGTTTTTAGTAACAATCCATGCAATAATAATGAGTGCTTTACTATTGATCTTATGGATTTTACAAATTATGAAAAATTTGATGTTTCGATTTTGGACCATGGGAAAGCATCGTTGAGTGCAGGAGATGATGGCGGAAAAGGGAATCGGAAGGAGCAAGTTTATTGTGCGGACTCAATTTCAACTCCTCCGAGAGATAGTCAAAAGAGTTGGGGTGATAACGATGATGAACGTGCAAGGAGGATGTGGCCACCTAAAGAACCAAACGAGCATTATCGGGGAGAGGAATTCAATCGTCAAGTGACTTCGGTCACATTAGCTTGAACAAAGAAGCAGACAAAGTCCAGCTGAAGACTGTAAACTTAGCGCTTCTCGGGAGGCAACCCGAGATTTCGTTTTTATTTCTTTTATTTTATTTTAGTTTTGTTCGTTTTTGTTTTTATTTTATTTTATTTTATTTTTTTATTAAAAAGCATGCACACTAACGAAATAAGAAATTTTTATTTTTCAGGGGTCAAAATGCAATTTTTGCAATTATTCACACGGCCGTGCCAGAAAACAGGCAGAAATCTCACACGGCCATGTGAGATTCAAGAGAGGCTACTGTATAAATTCGGTGAGGGGCGCGGCCGTGCGAAAAAGTAACTAGAATTTCGCACGGCCCTCTGAGAATTGGAGAGGCTACTGCCCAAATTTGAGAAGGGGCGCGGCCGTGCGGAATTTACACTGAATTCTCGCACGACCGTGCGAAGAACAGCAAGCTACTGCCCAAATTTTGAATTTCGCACGGCCGTACGAAAAAAACAGTGCAAAACGTCATACGGCCGTGCGAAATAGAAACAATGCGTATTAAAGAAGGGTTTTCCACACCACAATTTTCACAATTCCTATTCCTCTCTCTTCTCTAATTCGTGTAGGGAAGACTCAAGAAAGGTGCAAATTTCTCCAAAAATTCATTCAACAAGGAACGCTCACAAGGTGTTCGACGAATTGCCCGAGCCAAGTTTGGGGGAAATTTTGCACACCAATTCACTTCAAATCCCTTCCACAAGGCATTCGCACATCATGGGGAAAATAGCACATGACGGAGAGGGCACTTCAAAAGGAGAAGGCACTTCAAAAGGCAAGGGGAAGGGCAAGAAAGCCGATCAAGTTCCAACTCCCGATGACGATGCTTTTTGTGTCGAAGGCTCCAAGGTCCGTTTTGAAAAACAAAAGATGAAGAAACTTGTGACGGAGCGAGCATACGAGGTCACCCTACCGCAATTTGAACCGTTGAATCAAGAATTCATACGACGAGGGTGGCAATCATTGTTGGAACCGGCGGAGTCGATAAACTTGTCTTTGGTCCGCGAGTTCTATGCCAACACCCGTATTCTCCTAACTTCGGATAGCAAGACAAGCACGGTTCGAGGGAAGCGGGTCGACTGGAGTGCCAAGGCCATCAACTCCTTCTACAACACCCGACATGAGCCATTCAATTGGGAACAAATGCAACTCGCAATCACTAAAGATCAACTCGGCGAAGTATTATGCGATGGACCCCCAATTTGGTCCGAATTCTCCACTGAGGAGGAATACGAGTTGGAGTGGAAATGCATTCACCAAATAGGCAAGGCGTGACTTACTTTCATATGCGCTAACCTCATCCCCACCCGCTCGTGGACTCAAGTGAACCATGAAAGGTGTGCTCTTGCGTATTACATTTTAAAGGGCACACCGATCAATATTGGGGAGATCATATCCGACCGCTTTTGGATCTCCATGACCAAAAACTCCAAAGGGTTCTACTTCCCTTGCCTCGTTACCGGCTTATGCAAGAAGGCGAAAGTTCCAACCAAAACGACGGATATTGACATACAAATTCGGAAGCCGATTAGTAACCTTGCGGCCCGACAATTCAAGGCACCCATCTATGGTGGAGAGCAACCCGATGATGGTCCAGACGCTTAAACAGGTGTTTTCTATCCTTAAACTTCGGGCGAATCACATTGAGGGCAATGTGAATTTTAAGTTTGGGGGTGGTTAATTATTTGTTTTCTTTTATGTGTGTTTTAATTGTGTTTCACGTGATTGTTAGTTTGCATGTTTTAGGTTTTGTTTTAGTTGTCTTTTTATTATTTGCTTATAGTTAAAAAAAAATAAAAAAATAAAAAAAATTTGCTTGGATCGACGCATCGATGAATTATGATGATGGGAGATGGTCAATGTTTGATGATGAGATTACTTGTTTTATGTTGATAAGGATTAGATATTCGTTTAGCTTTCGATTCAACGGAACGTAGAAGTGAATTATTGCTAGGAATCCACTTTGTGCATTGCTTTGGTTGAATGTTTTGTATTATAAATTTGGAATTTATTTGTGCTAAATCATGCTTTGTTCGGTTTTAAATCTCACCTTAGGACATTTATGATACGAAATATTGGGTAGTAAGTGATTTGGGATATGATTTGGGCCTTCTTTGAACCGTTTGAGCCTTTCAAGCCTACATTTTTATCGAACTTATCCTTAGAACCTTGATTTGAGCCTCGGAGAAAAGGTGTTCTTTCTTTTAGCCAATATGTAGAAGGTAGAAAAGTGGAGATTTTTGAATAATTATCCCTTGGAGTTCGGTCGAAAATTCTTATAAGATTTTTCTTTCTTCTTTGTGAAAAAAAAAAAAAAAAAAAGAGAAGAAGAAGAAGAAGAGATTAGAAGGGAGAAATAAGGACTAGTTGTTGAATTGTGTCGAGAGCTCGATCCATTGTCTTAAGGGCAAAAGTGGAGACTTTTGAACTTTTGAGAATCGAGTTTATTAAAGTCCTTAGAGGTGAATTCATTGTTTCAAACGCCCAGCTTTCAATTGTTGGCGTAATCACCTCAATTCAAGAAAAATAGCCACATATACCCATATTACCTACCTCGGACCAAATAGCCTAACAATGGAAAGCCACAAAGTCCCGATGATCCCAATAGCTTAATGCGCAATATTAGTTGAGTAGAATAATTTGGTGAGTATTTGGAGTCAAATATATGCATGTAAGTATAAATTATTTCTATCTTTAATTTGCAAATATTGGATACTTGAATTAATTGTATGATTTGTGGTTTTTTGTGACGGTAAGTGACTAAGTGCCGTTGAATGTTGAGCTTGCGAATGCCTAGGAATTGTCATTATAATTGCAAGTTCTGAAAACGCGAAATTGATCAATTGATCTATGTAATGAGATGTATAGTCGAGTTTGTGCTCATAAATTGATTTTACTTGAGGACAAGCAAAAGTTCAAGTTTGGGGGTGTGTTAAGTGTATATTTTTACACTTAATTGTACCTTTTAATTGGAGCTTTTGGTGTGTTTTAACGATAATTGGTGCTTAAAATGTTGATTATTTGTATTTTAGGTACAAATTGAAGAATTGGAAACTTATGGGGTAAAAAATGCAATTTTGGAGAGAAAATGGGCCAATAGTAAAAAAATCAAAACTTCGAAGAATTGAATCTCGGACGGCCGTCCGAGTTTCAGCGTTAATTTTGGCACGGCCGTCCGAGTTCCCGAAGACGCGCAGTGAAGGAAGTTTAATTACACAAGAAAACCACCCTCTTATATTTTTACACCCTATAAAAGGCCAAACAACACACAATTAAGGAATCTATCTTTTTACACGCAATCAAGGAGCAAGAGAACGGAGCAAGACGAAGACTTGACGATTCTTCATCATAGTTTCTCCCTTTACTTTTATTCATAACTTTTATGATTTTTCGTATTTTTATTATGCTTTTCGTAGAGAACATGAGTAGCTAACTTTTTAATCTAGAATTTTGTTGGAACCCTATGTGGTGATTCGAACCTATTTTTCTAATATTATGCAAGTTTAAATTCTTGGATTATTTCTTCTATTTGATCTTATTTAGCGCATGAACGTAGCTAATTTATGTTGCTATATGTTATTGTTAGAATTGATTGACAGATCGTTTTAATAATTAGAACAAGGATAGAAGAGCCTTCGAGTAGTTTTCACCGGATGAGTGTGTTAATTGCATGTATTATCGTAGACATATAGATAATACCTTAGGTAGCCGTTTTCGAGACTTGTTGTTTAATGCTTTATTCATACTAGGTTTGCATAGACATATAGTGAATCGTTTATGAATAATAGACTCATAATACACGCGACAGCGGGTTATGAGTAATTGAGTGTCTCGGGTTAATAATCGGGAATCGTAACTTGCATGATAGAGGTTAATTGGGTGATGAATTATCGCACAGGGGAAGATAAAATCCTAGATCTGTTTTTATATTGATATTTTCTCTTGACTATTTGCTTTCTTAATTAGTTTAATTGTTTTATTGATTTAATTTGACAAACCCATGCGTAGGCTGGATAATAATCGTAGTTGTTAGAATTTGGTACTTAGGATTAGATAATTTAAGTATTCCCTGTGGGATCGACATCCGACTCTCACAAGTCCACTTTTACTACTTATTTGCGATACGTGCACTTGCATGTTAGGTATTTAGCCCAACAGCTAGCTAATTAATTAAAGGTGCCACTAACACTTTTAATATGGTTTTTTTTCTTTGTCGAACGTAAAAATATAATTACTACAAGTTGCAAACTCATATTGTCAAAACCATAAAATTCAAATAGGACCTGATTTAATTTATTTCATTACTACCAAAAGGAGCAGCATACATATTTTATTCGCGAAAAATCAAAGCAACACATACATTAATTATTTAAATAAAAAAAAAAAGACGAGATTAATATGCATGCATGACGTCACAGTGACGCAATGAGGACGACGATCAGTAATGAGTGATGTAGAGAGTATACTCAAGAACACCATAGTTAGTTTCCACGTCAAACGAGTGAGTATTGCTGATCGCAACCCCACGCGCCATGCGAAAGCACCCGGTGCCGCCAACAATCGCCAGCTCACGATCCGTTTTGAAAATCGGGTTCCGACCGGAAACCGTGACGGTGCTCCCCTCGTACTTCCCCTGTGTGAACAGAATATTGAGGCCCATGTGGATTGCGGTATCGTGCAAATCAGCAAACCCGATTGTTCCTTGGGCCCGGCCCACAACCTCCGAATCCGGCTCAGGCCCAGCTGTGAGCAAATCGTCGATCATGCTGATCTGGCCGAAATTCGTCGGAGAAGTGGCGGTGATGCCCGACTGAGCCACCTTGTGCACGGTGGGGCTTTCTCCGCCGAGAACATCCTGGAAATAGAAATGGATCTTGGTCCGGGTTTCCTTTGCTTCGCCTAGGCTTTCGAACCATTCTTCTACAGGTTTAACGTTAGCACCGCCTGACATGGCTTCTCTCTCTCACTAGCTCTCTCTCTCTCTCTAAACTCTGTATATATGTAGTGGGATGGAATGGTAGTTTGAGTTGAAGAGAGAGGATTATATAGATGAATAACTGCTGTAAACATGCTTAAAAAGGTAAAATAGTGATCAGATTAAAAAAGTAAAATAGTGAAAAAATGGCGTTATGTCGTCCGGTCGGAGATGCCCTAAATATAGCTACCACCCCTGATCGTATGGGCCTTGTACCATTTACCCCCTAGTGTATTGAATGTACCAGTTACCACCTTAGGATTTTAGTTAAAAGTTAAACCATTGACATCGTTATATTAATAAGTGAAATGACTAAATAGCCCTGCAATGAAGCATACAATTTTAAAACAAAATATGCACATCTAATTCCTATACTTGAGTATGTTTTTTACTGTAGCAAAGTGAAGTTTAGCTCCTATTTTTGTATTGAAAATATGTAGAATTGATTTGATATATGAAAATATTGCTATTTTTTAGTATACTGTGCAGAGGTGTATATCATTTATGATAAATTAATAAAATGCAATATTTTCACACACTATGTGCACGCATAAGCATGGTAGAAAAATGAATATTTTTTTGAATTTTTGTTTCAAAGAATCAAGATTGAAAATAGGAGTGCAAGTTGGAACGGAAGTTCCAATTTTCACCGATTGCGATCCAAAAAAATTTAATTATGGAACAACCTTTTTTATCCCGACTTCCAAATTTTCGATTTCCGATTTTTTCCGATTTTTTGGATAGGAATTGGAATTATTGAATATTATGATTTGGTTTTTTTTTTTTTATTTTTTTGAACCGAAATTTAGTATTTATTAATGTTTTACTTTTATCAACGTGGGTGTTCTTATTTTTGAAAAATTATGACATTTTCAGAAAATTTATGTTATGTTTTGAAATTTTAAAACGTATATTCTGATTTTTTCCGAAATTCCGAAATTTCCGGGCCTGTTGGAATTTGAATAATTTTTAGATTCCAAAATTTTTGGAATTGGAATTGATTTTGTATTTCTAATTTTTTTTGAAAATTTATCCAAAAGGATAATTTTGATCTGATCCATCCGACTTTCACCCATAGTTAAAATCTTCTAAAAAACAAAAAAATAAATAAATAAATAAATAAATAAATAAATAGGGTTTTGTATGTAAGGGGTGGTATTTGTATAAAAACTCCACTTCCTACTTTTTCAACAAAAAATAATACTACGTCACAACATCAGTTTTACAATTGTTAAGTTTACTAATCATGCCATTATACAATTTGTATAAATATATATATATATATTATCATGACATTATAGTATTTGTGACAAATCTAGTAATAAAATTTCACTTGCAAACTCACAGGGTAGTAGTTGAGATTTATGAATTAGCAATTATATCTAATAAGACCATATCTCATCATAGTATCTACTTGCAAATAGATAAATATGTATAATATATATGGTGTGAATTTGAGAGCTGCGTTAGGTGTGAGACATATCCAAAAAAAAAAAAAAAAAAAACGTGTGAGATAGAGACCCGGCCACTGTCCCACTAGCCCATTGCCACGGTCCACTAGCCCATTTGCAACCCATGAACCCAATTTACAATAGAATAATAGTTAAATTGGTCCATTTATTGTTTTGTTTTTCTCTTGTCATTTATTTTCAAATCCAACTTGGTCCATCCATTATTGTTAGGGTAGCCGGGTCAAGTGTCCAACTTGGTCCATCCATTATTGTTAGGGTTGTCGGGTCAAGTGACCCATTTTCATTTGATAAATAATTGAATGCATTTTACATTGTTAATCATTAGGGCACATTGCCTAATAATAACATTTCTAACAGTTATTTTATATATTGGTAAGATACAATGTAAAGTAATAATAAATAAAAGTGTTTAAATAATAATGTTAAATAGTATATTAAATAAGACATTTATTATTATTAAATAATGTTAAATAAATTATTAATAAAGTTTAAAAAATATAAGGAACTGGGGTTCAATATCCCCAAATATCTATTATTAATTATATAATATTAATAAAATTCGTTGTTGAAAAATACAAAGGATATTTAATTAAATATAAACAAATGCATGACTTAATAACAAGCTCACTTAGGTTATTAAATTGATGGTGTGACAAATTTGAATAAAAAATAAAATAAGATTTTTATTTAGAAAAAAAAAAGATTATAACTCATTCCAATTAGTTTTCTTACTAAAAATACTATATTATGATTTTTCTTTTAATATTTAAGTTTAATCGAATAGTAAGATTTAAATTAATTAAGCTCAATTCCTTTCAGTTATAAACCTTAATCAAAGATTTAATGATTTAATGATGGTATAATTGACTTTACATATTTTTGTGTGCTTAAAGGGGATTTCATCCTTAACTTTATTTAACCTCAATTTGACCCCAAATTTCACAAATTATTCAATTTTGACCCAAAACGTTTTTTTTTTCAAAAACTTTTTTTTTCCCGGCGGTTAACGCCGGTCTCCGGCGTTGACTTTTCAATTTTTTTTTATTTATTCCGTATTTTTTGGCCAATCTCCGGCATTGACTTTTTCGAAAAAAAAAATTCTTCTTTGCTTTCTTTCTGTAACTTTTTTTTTTCGTTTAAACAGCAATATTGCTGTGACTGACAATAATATTAACTATATTACTGTTAAACACAGTAAAATTAACTAAACTACAGTTTAACACAGTAATATTGCTATATTAATCACTAACATTGTAATATTAACACAACAAAACTCATTATTATGGTGTAATAGAGTAATATTACTATGTTGACCGTTCAACAAATCTAAGCATAGTAAAAATCCAAAAGAATTAATATTATTGTGAGTGACAGTAATATTACTATAACAACAGTACTATTACCTTCAAACACAGTAATATTACAATAATAGACAGTAATATTATTACGTTACTTCGTGAATAACTCAAACAAACAAAAAATTCAAACAAAATAATAATATTGATGTGGTTGACAACAATATTACTATAACATCAGTAATATTACCGTCAACCACAGTAATATTATTGTGTTTACAGTAATAATACAATAATAGACAGTAATATTATTACGTTACTCCGTGAATAACTCAAACAAGACAAAAAATCCAAAAAAATAATAATATTGATGTTGTTGACAGTAATATTATTGTGTTTACAGTTATTTTACTGTCAACGAAAGTAATATAATTACGTTGACTTGTCAACAAATCAAACAAAATAAAAAACAACAAAAAATAAAAAATAACAATATTACATTAATTTAATGTCAACGGCAGCACAATTAAATAAATGTATTGTCAACGGCATTACAATTACGTTAATTAACTGTCATTACAGTATAATTACTTTAATTTACTGTCAGTGACAGCACAATTACGGTCAACGTGTAGCGGTGGACGTAAAAAAAAATTAACTCCAAAAAGCACTAAAAGAAGTCAACGCCGAAAACCGGCGAAAAATTCCGGAAGAAGAGGAAAAAAATAAAAAGTCAACGCCGGAAACCGGCAAAAAAAATTGGAAGAAAAAAAAATCGAAAGGTCAACGCCGGAATCCGGCGGCAAAAAAAAATTTGAAAAAAAAAAGTTTTTGAAAAAAGAAAAGTCAAAATTGAATTTTTGTGGTCAAAATTAGATTTTTGTGGACAAAATTGATTAACTTGGGGTTAATATTGACATATACATGAATGTTTATTTATAATAAATATTAAAGGGATGGGTTTATTGGTGAAAGAGATATAGCCCCTAAACCTAGAATAATAAAGATGCTTGGTTGGGGATTTATGCACAAAAACCCCTAAATAAATATGTTTGGATGAATATAACCATGTACATGTGTTGGCCAAACTATGGAGTCCGCTAATCTCCGATTAACGAAGCATCTGTTTTTAATTTTATCTCTAATAGGGTAAATTCTACATATTATTCTATAAGGCCTCTATTGGTTTGAATGATAGGATATATTAGGAAAGAAGGATTATATAAAAAATAACTGTTCGTTATTATATAATATTGAAATATTGGGTATTGGTTTGCAGTATTAAATATAGTGAATAAGAATTTTTCCAGAGTTGGTTTGCGTGATTAGGATAAAATTAAGTATCCAATTACAAAAATTGTCCGCTATTAAACATCAATATTAAACTGACATGAAGTTGGACATGTGAGAAAAATTATAAATTAAAGCTAAAGCTAAGGTCTGTATATATTTAAGTAAATAGTTCAACCAAAACTAGAAATATACATAAAATAGTTCAAACGATAATAGATGTTCAAATTACAAATAGTCCAAAAGATAGTAGAATACGAATTACAAATAGTCCAAACGATAGTAGGATACGAATTACAAATAGTCGATAGGTGATGTCCCATCGGTAAAATGTCAGCCCAAAATAACTAATAACGCCCTTCGTGTATCATCTTGACCAACGCCTTGTGTTCATCGACAACCCGAAGAAGATATCAATTAGTTATTTGTTACGGCATAAGTGTTTGGCAACATTGAGTTCGTCCTTAACGCTCAAGTTAGGAATCGATTCAAGAGCATCAAATATAACCTTCCTCAAAGAAGCGGCATCATGCTCGAAGCCCATTCGCTTGACCATGTCCCACAATCTATCACCCGTTTTGTCAAAGAATGTTCGCATCATTTTCATAACCTCTATTTCAAAGGGCTCTTTTACCAATGGACGTTCCTTTGATTTTTTTTCTTCATCTTGGATGTCGTAGTGGAGTCTGCTCCACATTGTGTCCGATGCATCGTCGTCATTCGAAAAGCTAACAAAAGGGACATAATCCTCGCCAGCAGACAAATGTTCTTTCCCTCTATCATTTTCCATAAGGTCATTTACAACATCAGCCAAGACTTCCACATTCTAACCGTCGTTCGATCCTTACCAAAAAATTGTTACCCAGTCTTTATTAAACCACCACGCCTTGTACCTCATTGTTCGAGCTCCCGGGTCACTCTATGTGTTATGAAAATTAAATAGTATTGCAAATAAAACGGTTCAAATGAAAAAAAGAATAAAATCGGTCCTATTTATACTCGGTAATGTGGTAAATAAT